AAAGTACCTTCATTGGCACAGATGTAGTTGGCAAGATCAAGATCACACAGGAAAGGGGTGAAGTAACAGAAAATCAGTAAAAGTGGCATAAAATCTTTTAAAACAACAGGATATAAAAGTTCTAAAAACATCCACGTCCAGTGCAGTCCAGATTTGTCAACTTTAAAATCTGCTTCTACTATAGTATGAAATATTTCATAATTTAAAACTAAATAACCTGCCCCTGTAAGTATCCCTTTTCCTGAGCCACCTTCATTGTTTAGGAAGCACTGCTAGGACAGTAGCATCTGCTGAAGCAGACACTCAACAAGTTATGTTTATGCAACTTTGCCTTTTCTTACAGCTTTTTCATGGCTCTCCGCTTCCAGTGGCATGTCTTTTATACCAGCAGACCCTCCTGTAGCCCTTTGGCCTTTAAAAAAATTATCTTGATGCATTTTCTTGAGGCCTCATATGTTTCCATATGGTGAGAGGGTGGAGCTTGAGCCGCTCTCCTATGGTGTCTCTGAGTGGGGAGCAGTAACTCTCCTGTTCTTTTGTTTAAGAAACTGAATCACATTTTACTTAAATAAAATGATCAGGGACTTGGAAATTCTGGCATAAAACAGGAAAATTGTGTCATTTCAAAGCAGTGGTTAGCGAGGGGCTACAAAGCAGAAATTATACCCGTATGTGAGCGCGCGCGCGCACGCACACACACACACACACACACACACACACACACACACACAAAAGTATATAACACAGTCAACCTTTAACACAGGTTTGAAGTGCACAGGTCCACTTATACACATTTTTAAAAATACAGTATAATACCGTATTCTTACGATTTTTTAAATGATTTCCTTTAACCTTTTCTCTAGCTCACTTTATTGTGAGAATATAGTGTTTCATACATTTAACATGCAAACTATGTTAATTGACTATGTTATTGGTGATGTTTCTGGTGAACAGTAGGCTATTAAGTTTTTGGGGAGTCAGTATGGATTTTTGACTATATGGGAGTTGGTTCCCCTAAATCCTGCATTCGTTAAGGATCACCTGTAGATGTGTATATATTAGGGTTTTAAATATCACAGTCCCTCAGTAATTTTAGAAAATCATGTAGGTTTTACTAAAGAGCCTGAAATCCATCACTAACCAATATTTATTGAATGTCTGTATGTAAAATACTTGCTTTGTACAGATTTTCATTGGCTGAAATAATTGATACCTTACAAACAAAGGACAAAAACAAATTACCCTTTAGTGATATCCTCCTCCTCTCAATGTTGGGAAAGTTCAGTCAGGTTTTCCCTTTAGGAACATTGGATGTCTTTTTCTTCTGGTTTGTGCAGAGAAGGGTGAACTCTGAAATGAGTCTACTTTTTAATGTTTTCCAGCAGCACCAGATGAAGAGAGTGCAACCAGTGTAACAAAAAAACAGGTAATTTAAAATTATTTTCTGACCTTTTCTAGTAATGTGGTAGAACAGAGGTAAAATAAGCACATTTCCTAGCATAGGCTACCCATGCATCTGTAAAAAGATCTTTTGGAATTTTTAGATGATCCAAACTAAGTTACAGTAATAATTTTTTTCTGGAAGAAAAATCTAGGACAGAAACCTGACACATTTTCCTGATAATGAACAACAAACATTCGAAGTTTTGATGCAGAAGTGATTAGGATGAAATGGCAGGACAATGAAATTATGAAATGTCTAAATCCACAGGGTTAACTTATCTCTATCGTGTTTTAAAAATATAAACCCTCCTTTTGGGTTCAGATTATTGTCCTAGGATTCTTGAGTTTACCTCTTCATTGTTTGAAAATGTGAGTAAGTGGAGAGACGGGCTGTGATCAATATTTTGGTCTTCTTTTGCAGAAGTGGACTGTAGAAGAAAGCGAGTGGGTCAAGGCTGGAGTGCAGAAATATGGGGAAGGAAACTGGGCTGCCATTTCCAAAAATTACCCATTTGTTAACCGAACAGCTGTGATGATTAAGGATCGCTGGCGGACCATGAAAAGACTTGGCATGAACTGAAACAGGCTTTCATTTCCACATTAATTCACAGGAGCATGGTTCCTAATAATAGCCCCTGATAGTCTGTTGTTTCTTTCAGAAGCTGGGCTGGGATGAGAATTTTGGGCATCCTCCTCCGACGTGGAGGAGGTCCCTGTTCTACTTCATCGCTGGTGGAGATCATGGAGCTGAGAAACAAAGCCAAGTCCACCCCATGTCCTTGGCAGGGATGACAGGCACATAGCTTGTACAGTGCCAGAATATCATTAGTATTTCCCTTCTTTAGTGGTTTGCTTGAATTTAAATCCTTGGTAATCAGTAGAACCTTCTCCTAGGAAATGGTGGAGTCTGTTAGAAGCCACTTATTATGACTCTGACCTGTTCAAACCAGCAATGGGAGCATTATCTGGAGTGAACTTGTTCCAGGTAAAGCTCTGGCCTTCTGATGCAATGCAGAGGAACTTCATCTGTCATGAACCCAGGCTGATGAGAGGCCAGTCTTGGTGGTGGAATCAGAGTCTCTTGTAAAAACTCTCAAGCCAGTTGTAACATCAACATCTAGACCCGACAGCCTTGGCATTTGCTCTTGGTATTTGCTGGGCTACGTAGGCAGGTTTAACCTCCACCTCTCCTGTGGTTGAACCAGTGTGTTTTTTTTTGTAAAACGGTGATTGTAGATAAGCTTAGCCCTCTCCTCCATCCCCTCTGCCCAAATCCCTTCCTTATGCTGGACTTTTAAGGCTTAAAAAATCCTGATTGAATATAAATGCTTAATTCCATTCTTTGTGAAATGGTTACTTCCACCTGATTCCCTAACTGTGCTTGTGTTTAGTGTCTTGCTCTAAAACTCAACATTCCCTTCTCCTTTTGTACTGTGTTGTGCTTGCTGTTTCTCTCGGACATCCTTAAAGACTGTCTTTTTGGCACACAAAAAAATTAGTAAAGTGTTTTCTGTAATCTTTTTTTAAAATATGAGAACTAATTATTGTCCATAACTTGTAGCATTCTTCATTAAAGTCTTGCTTCTCTCAAATGTTAAGGAGCTACTTAATTCTAGCACAGCGTGTATGAGCAATTGGAGGGAGCAAACTGTTGAACAAGCTTTGCTGAACCACGTTGACTATGTTAAGAAGCAGATGTCGGACTGTATTGGATGTTTTAATCCTTGAAAGCCATGTTGAACAGAAATGTGGGAGTGTCGTCTTAATTTGTCCATACCCTTATATAATATATTTTTGGGAAAAAATTCCCCCTTTCTCACTTCTCAGTGAAAGGCAAGGTGTAAAGAAATGCTACAGTTTTAAAAATTCCTCCTGTAGGTACAAGTTAGAAACTTTGTACAGCTTTATTATCTATTTACATGTTTTGGGATCTGGTACTACTACTTTTCTGTCAGTTACTCCCAAATGAAGCTACAGTGAAAAGGTGAGACCCAGATCCCTCTTCATCTGGCTGCAGCTAGTTGTGGTCTTCGTCTGCAGGGGGTTAGGATCCGGGAGCTTTTAGCTCTTCCACTCTAACATTATTTGACTACACTCTCTAGAAGAGTGACACTGTGATACACTTAAGGAAGCAGAATATCCTTATGAGTGTTTCTCAAACTGAGAAATGCGTAAGTCCATTAACATTTTTTAACATAACTTCAGGGGTATGTTTATTATAGTATTCCTAAAATGTGTACAAACATAAAACTATGCCCACAGCTTCTATAGAACTATAATATGTACTCTGAACTGATGACTGTTTTGGGGAGTCTAAGTCACTGCTTATGACATGGGTAGCATTGGGGCTGTCGCAATGATAGGATGTGGGTAAGGATGCTTGATTGTTGGGAAGTGATCCCAGTCTCTGAGGCCTTCACCTAAGCAAGACTGCTGCAGAGCCACTGTGCCTGTGGCCTTTGCTAGAACTGAATACAATTATGAAGTCTGTTCTTGATTATTAGCTTATAACACTTAAGGGATTACCACTTGGGAGTCAATGCAATGAATTCTGAAGCAATACCTGGTTAGAAGGTGCTAATGCTAATTGTTTTTTAAGATTATGGCTGAAATCAAAACATTTAGGCACTCTCAGCACTCACAGACTGACATAAACACTGTCCTGATAGGTAAGAGTGTGAGACCCACTCAGGGCCCCAGCTGCACCAGCTGTGCTTCGGGGTCAAGGAGCTGGCCACTGGAATCTCTGAATGTCCCATTTCCTTATCTCTAAGGCAGTAGGTAATGGTACCTCCCTCCCAGGGCTGTTGTGAGAACACACAGGAAGCAAGTAAATCTTTTAGCTCAATGCCAGCCATGAAGTCAGCAGGTGTTCAATTGAACCTTTTCCCTGCTTTGAGTGCCGAAGAAGTAATAAATAAAAGAAGAAAGATGGAGGGTTTGAACAATATAGTCTTTAAGTGGGTTTTTGGATAGCTTTAGAAGAGTGGATCAGTAAGGGGGAAAGTAGAACAAGGATTATCAGTGGAAGAGTCTGACCACTGCCTCTTGCTCACTTTATTTGTCCATTAAAATTTTTGCACACATTAACATGCTGTGCTTTTTGCTAAGATCTAGCACTGGGCAGAAAATACTCTGTTCACTCAGGTTTGCCCCACATATCTTATTGGAGCATCTAGCAATCTGATACGAATAGGAGAAACAAATCTCTCCAGGCAAACTTTGTCTGTATATTCAGATGGTCGTAATAAACTTACCCAGTGCTTATTCCCAAGAAGAACTTAAAAATGATAACCCAAAGGAAGGACAGAAATGCCTCTTCTGGAGAAGATTCTATCTAGCACCCATGAAGTAGGTTTGATAAGCCGCTGAGGTTTTTGTTTTGTTTTGTTTTGTTTTTAAGATTTTATTTATTTGACACACAGAGAGAGACAGCGAGAGAGGGAATACAAGCAGAGGGAGTGGGAGAGGGAGAAGTAGGCTCCCTGCTGAGCAGAGAGCCCGATGCTGGCTCCATCCCAGGACCCTGGGATCATGACCTGAGCCGAAGGCAGACACTTAGCTGACTGAGCCACTCAGGTGCTCCATCCCTTGAGTTTTTGAGGTGAAACCAAAAACACTTCCTGTGAGCCAAGCATGGGGATATTGTGCCAGTTCTATTATGGAATATCTCTGTGTGGCCCTGAAACCGGGCTAAGTGTGACTTGTAAGTTAATGATTACCCTAGCAGTTGATTAAACTACTTGGTTTCACTAGACTGCAAGCAGTTCACCTGCAGAGGAGTCTCCAAAAAGCAACATGTTCCCTTTGCTCTTTGGGGCTGGACTGGTGGTTCTGAACCTAGTGACTTCTGCTAGGAGCCAGAAGACAGAACCCCTTATTGGCTCTGGGGACCAGCTGCTCTTCCATGGAGCAGATCGATCTGACTTTGCCATTATGATCCCTCCAGCAGGCACAGAATGCTTCTGGCAATTTGCCCACCAGAATGGATATTTCTATTTCAGTTATGAGGTGAGTACATGGGCTCCTCTCACCATACTGGGGACTTGTTTTTTGTTTGTTTGTTTCCTTTTGCAAAGTGGGATAGGTTTTATTCAAATACAGGATTCTGGTTGTCTTTACTATGCTGTGATTCCCTACCTGTTAATGAAATGGATCTGCACTTGGATGGAAACTCTTGATGGATGACTAATCACTAAAACATATGGCTTGACTTCTCAAACTGGGGGCAGTGGAGGTGTGCTCAAAGCCATGGGACAAACATACTGCCTCTTCCTGGAGAGGTAATCATATATATATTAACTCAGACTTGGAGATGAGAGAGAATCCATTTTTATAAAATAATAAAACAATATGGATATGGTACAAAGTTGAATGAAAACTTACATGAACTTTGGAAACAGACCCTGATTATTTCAAAGAAAGATGCTTCAGTTTATGGGACCGGGGGAGCAACATTTACTCTGCTGCTTTAAGGAGTAATTCTGGCAGACCACAGAATCACCGGCTCAGGGTCTCTCTATTTGGCCAGACAGTCCTCTGTTTCTTTGGGAAGGTGAATGTTTTCAAGTTGCCTGTTTATAGGCTAAGTACATTTATCCATCCCGTTGTCTTATACCACAGTGCCCAAGAATGGTGAACTCAATAGTAAAGTCAAAGGCTGTTAATTTCTTTTGTTCTTTATCTTAGAAACCTGTTAACTTTGGGCACCTAGGTGGCTCAATGGGTTAAAGCCTCTGCCTTCGGCTTAGGTCATGATCCCGGGGTCCTGGGATCGAGCCCTACATTGGTTTCTCTGCTCAGCGGGGAGCTTGCCTCCCCCTCCCTCTCTGCCTGCCTCTCTGCCTACTTGTGATCTCTGTCAAATAAATTAATAAAATATTTTTTAAAATAATAAAAAAAGAAACCTGTTAACTTTCTAAATTTTGTTTACATAGTAATAGACTATATTGATCTTATTCCATTGCACTGTAACTCAAAGCTTATTTTAAGTTAGCTTATCAGAGCCTTTTCTTATCTCTCAATTTATAACAGGACAGTAGCTACTAGTAAGCACACTGTAGCATGGGCTTATCAAGATCCAGCTTGAGAAGTGACTATTGAATGTCCTATTTATTTGCTGTCAAGCAGCAAGTAAGCCCAAGTCTGAGACACCACCAGGGAAGTCAAAACCAAGCAAGTTCAATCAAGAACTCTACAAAAACATACGTATCAATTGATACCAGATGGACATTCTGAGACAGGTCTTCCTAAGAGGAGTGTTACTGGCATTTTGGGTAATTCTTTGTCTTAAAATACTGTTTCTAACATGGTAGGATGTTCAATATTGCTGTCTCTTCCTACTCAACCCCCAACACCACTGTTGTCTCAATCCAAACTCCCAGGGAGGATTGGGCAGTACCATCCCTGATTGAGAACCACTGTGCTGATGATCAGGAATGTCAATCTTGGCACTTAGTTAGCTTTCTGTGATGTAGCAGGGGCTTTTCTCCCTCTTTAATGTGTCTTGGCAGGTGCAACGGACACTGGGAATGTCACATGACCGACATGTTGCTGCCACTGCACACACCCCACAGGGTTTCCTCATAGACTCCTCTCAGAATGTTCGAGGCCAGATAAACTTCTCTACCAAAGAGACAGGTCTGTTTTCATCACCAGTTACTGTAATAATCATAAGTTTCTTTGAAACTGGGTCAATAATGAGGAAGTACTGAAATTACTGAAGTACATGAGATGTAAAAGCTCTGGCTTTTTCACAGAGGGATGATCAAACAGTAGGGGGACTAAACAGCTTTGAACACCAAAAACTAGCCTTAAGCACCAACATCAAAACTTTACAGCAGATTGCCAGCAGCAGAGGCAGTATGTCCACTGGCACACTTGGGACAGGGTCTCCAGGTGACTATTTTAACTCCAGGGTCCAGAAGCTCAATTTTATCTCATTGTCTCCAACTGAACAGGTTATGAGAAAGTGACCAAAATTGACCCATTTATAATACAGAATTCCAATTAACAAATTTATTTGAGGACAGCACTTCTTTCTAGTTTTCAGAGTACTTGAGGCAGTTACTAAACAGCAGACTCAGAACGAAAGGTAACGCATCACAGTGAAAATACCCACGTTCCACAACAAAGCACTTCTCCAGTCACCAGAAAATTTCTACAGCCAGATCAAGTCTGTCCCCACCTTGGACAACATGGGTCAGTTTTTTGGGTTTTGGTTTTTGTCTTTTCTCTCGAGAGAGAGCGAGCAGGAGCACAAGCATGCACGTGGGCAAGCACACAAGCGTGGAAGGGATAAAGGGAGAGAGAGAGGCAAACTCCCCACTGAGCAGGGAGCCAGACATGAGGCCCAATCCCATTACCCTGGGATCATGATCCAAGCTGAAGACAGATGCTTAACCCACTGAACCACCCAAGCGCCCCCAGCATGGGGTCAGTTTTAACTGCCCTCTCTACCAGCCGGGTGTACGAAGAAAGACAATGTTTCTCAACAGGGACATGAAACAATCCTTCATTGTGTAGCACAGGATATTCAGCACTCTAGGGTAGTTAGCACCTTTGGCCCCTACCTGCCAATATTGCCTTCCAATCATTTTGACAATCAAATATGCTGCCACACCTTTCTAATCCCGCTCCTCCCCACTTCCACATACATACAAAGGGTGGCAACCCCCATTAAGAATCAGCACCAGTATATACCCTAAACCATCGGCTCCTGTAAAAACCACCTTGCAGGAGTTACTCCATTCAGCAGGATAGCTTCTTTCATTCAAACATATCAATTTTTTCTCTAGTCTCAAGTTCAAGATGGTATCCCCCAGCTCTAATGGTGTATAAGAAGCAGGAAAACCACCATGCTCTTAATTTCAGTTCACTTTGTCAAGCAGAAGAGCTTCAATAAGAGATGTGAGAAATATATGTTGAAAAAGACAGAGAAAACATTGTTTTCAATCTAGTATAGAACTAACTTAAATTTACTTACAAATTTACTAATTTATAGAACTAAGTCACTAATATTTGGCAAAACACTATATTGTAACTTGTACTTAGTAAAATAAGTTTCATGGAAGATCATGTAAGGTTTCCACATAAAAAAATTGGATCTTTCTACTTCCTAAGTAAAAGGATGGAAACTACAGTAGTACCTTTAACACTGGTAAACATGTATCTTCGGGGGAACCTAGAGGGTGGTAGATCAACAAAGGGTGGAGACCAAGCTTTAGTAATGATTTAGGGATTCCTACAGGTTTTTATCAGCTTTGTCTAAAAAATCAGCAAAATCACTTTGGTTCTGTGCAAGTGTACCTCAATTTTGGAGTCTTCTATGAGGGGCCTGAGATGGACCACAAACAGAAGAATGAAAGAAAACAACTGAATGATACTCTGGATGCCATTGAGGTAACCATTTTGTGGGAATAACAATGTGGAAACATCCTTGGAAATAATATCACCTGAGTGAGAGCTCACCTGGGGAGAAACCAAACATGCACAGGGATCTGAATCCTAATTTTTAGGACTTGGAGCTCCTGAAATTCCTCACTTGTTTTATACAAGGAGTTGGCAAACTATGGCACACAAACTAAATCTGGCCCATTTCCCGATGGAATGGCCCATTCACCATTTTAAAATGTACAATTCTGAGGTTTTTAGTATATTCCCAAGGTCCTGCCACTATCACATCTAATTCCAGAACAGTTTCATCACCCAAAAAGAACTACACACCCATTAGTCACTCTTCCTTCCCCAGGACCCCTCCTAGTCCTGGGCAAGCATTCACTAATCAACTTTCTGTTTCTATAAATTTGCCTATCCTGTACATTGTATGTATGTATCATGCATACAGTGTATGAGTAGAATCATACAATGTGGCCTTTGTTTCCAGACTCCTTCACTTAGTGAAGTGTGTTCTCAAAATTAATCCATATCGTAGCATATATTAGTACTTCATTCCCTTTTATGGATGACTAATACTCTCTTGTATGACTGTACCACATTTTGCTTATCCACTCATCAGCTGATAGACATTTGGGTTGTCCACTTTTTGGCTACTATGAATAATGCAGCCATAAACATTTGCATGAAGTTTTTGTGTGAACATGTTTTCATTTCTGTATACCAAGAAGTGGTATAATCTGCTGGGTCACATGGTCATCTGTTTAACTTTGAATAACTCCTGTTCTCCAGTGGCTACAGCATTTTACACTCCCACCAGCATATGTGGTTTCAATTTCTCCACATCCTCGCCAACATGCCACTGTCTCTTTTATTAATAGTCATCCTAGTGGTGTGGAGTTGTATCTTGTGGTTTTGAGTTCTGTCTCCCTAATGGCTAAGACCACTGAGCATCTTTTCATGTTTTTTGGGCCATTTGTCTATCTTCTTTGGAGAACTGTCTATTCAAATCCTTTACCTGTTTTAAAATTGGGTGGTCTTTTTTTTTTTTTTTTTTAAAGATTTTATTTGTTTATTTGACAGAGAGAGATCACAAGTAGACAGAGAGAGAGAGAGAGAGAGAGAGAGAGGGAAGCAGGCTCCCTGCTGAGCAGAGAGCCCGATGTGGGACTCAATCCCAGGACCCTGAGATCATGACCTGAGCCGAAGGCAGCGGCTTAACCCACTGAGCCACCCAGGCGCCCAAAATTGGGTGGTCTTTTTATTGATGAGGTATAAGTTTTTTAAAATATTCTGGATATAAATCCCTTATCAGATAAGTGATTTGCCAACATTTTCTCCATTCTGTGGGATGTCTTTTCACTTTCTTGATAGTATTTTTCAGTGCACAAAAGCCCACTGCCTGTTTCCACAAATGACACTTCACTGAAGCAGTTATGCTCATTTGACAATTACACACAGCTGCTTCTGTGCTAACAACAGCAGAGTTTGGTAGTTGCAACAGACTGTACTGCCCGCAAAACCGAAAATATTTACTATCTGGTCCTTTAATAAGAAGTCTGCAGGCCCTAGTCTTCTACCATATTCAAAGAACAGAAGACATCACCAGAACAGCAATGACGTACAGAGTACATGCCTAAATCTAAAGAGATACTGTGAGACACCTGAAAGAGCTTTCTAGTTTCAGCACTGAAATTTTTCATTATAAAATTGTGTCTTTTAGGCAACCCTCCTGGGTCCCCTCCCTCTTCAGGAGCTTTGTGCTATCACTTTGCTATGGCTCAATAAATTTTGCTTTGCTGCTCACCACCAAAAAAAAAAAAAAAAAATCCAGACATTTTTTTCATATACAGCAAAACCAGCTTTACTAACAACTACAATAACCAACTTACTACCTATCATAAAATTATAAGTTACTCAACTTCCAGGTAACTTAGATTAGTGCTCGTGAGCACCCAGGTGAGACTAGACAGGAGGTAAGGAGGACCCTCTCTTTACTTCACTTTCTGTCCCACAGGAGAGTACACGGAAGGTGCAGAACAATATCTTCCACATGTGGCGATACTACAACTTTGCCCGTATGAGGAAAATGGCTGACTTTTTCCTTCTCCAATCAAACTATAACTATGTGAACTGGTGGTCAACAGCTCAGAGCCTTGTTATTATTCTTTCTGGAATCCTGCAGCTGTATTTCTTGAAGCGTCTCTTCAATGTCCCAAAGACTACAGACACGAAAAAGCCAAGATGCTAAGCCAAAATGACTACAGCAGCCTAGCTCTCTTCTTCTGGGGCAGAAGCTCTGTCAAAGTTTTGGTCAAATAAGCTTTGTAGATTACTGGGAAAAAATCAATTTATCTTGTTCGAACATCTTAGTCTATTGCTTTCCTTTCCTCTCCAGTTGCCTCAAAATGGCAATAAAATAATAAATGTGCAAGTTTTGATATTAGCTATTACTAAAGTGTGTACCAAATGCTACCATCAAAATACTGTTCAACATACAGCGGTCCCTCAACCTTTACTAAGTCTATCTAGAGGGTTTACACATAACCTTGGGAAGGAGAATTGAAAAAAAATGGGACAAAACATATCTGTTTTATATGTTGCATACAAAAACAGGAATTGGTAGACTGCTTTTTTGTAGTTGAAAATTTTATTTTTAGAGATGTCACCTTTGGAATTTAAAATAAGCAGGAAAAAAGTGTATTTAAAGAAATGCTTTATAATACAGGCAGTTTAAAAAAAAACTTAGTGGAATTTTTTCATTAAAAAAACATTTTAATAATTCCAAAAATAATTTTGGCAGGCATGGGCAAGGTGGGAGGAGCTGAATTATTTCAGTGTCTATGATTAGTGCTTTCTGTCTAGTCCAGTCAGGTAAATAAAGGTTGGTATGGGAAATCACATTTTAAGAAATCAAGGTGATGAAAATAACATTAGCCTGGGATCATACCATCTCAGAAAAAGGAGAACAAGAACCAAGATATATCATCAAAACTACACTATCACGACAGGAGATCCTATCCTTAGTAATAGAAATACCCGGTATATACGACATAAAAATAATTCTTACCATTTATTTAACACCTAACATTTGACAGGCACTGTGCTAAGTGCTTTCCAAATGTGATTTCTAATTCTAAAAACCATTCTTAGGTAGATGGTGCAAGCTGTTTTTTGAAGCAGAAGAAGAAAATAAGCTTATCAAAGTTGAATGGCGTCTCTAAAGCCATACAGCCGGCAGATGTCAGAACCGGGGTTTGAACCCAAGGTTTTCTCCCACACCACACAGAACCTACTATATAGAAGATTGGCAGAACAAATTGCTGTTATTTTATCCAAATTTCATTTGTAAAATCCCATATGTGACCTACCATTCAATATGGTAATATCTGACTTCCATGGTATTAATAAATAATGAAGAAAATCTACTGTGCTCTTATCATGAGTTTGGAAAACAGTGTTATCACAGATAACAATAAGCTAGCTATTCTTGTCCTCAGTTCCAATGACTTAGAACCTGTTACTCAAGACAAGAAGCCCCTTGATTCAAATATAAAACACAGTATTCTCTTTAGTCACAAACGCAAAGATCTGAAACACTGTTTTTGAGCCATTTCCGCATAAGAATCCAGCCTGCATTCGTCCATAATAGAGAGAATATTAAACTAAGAAGTCCCTGAAGAAGTCACAGTGTTGACAAAATTCAACATGATGATGGAGCCTACACAGACACAGGAAAGAAAGCTAGGCCCTTCCACACAGCCATAAGTCCTCGCGATGATTTCGTTTTAAGTCAAAGTCTCTTCATGCCGCACATATTCCCCAATGTCTGCTTGATGAAATACCACAATCGCCATGGGGTCTACTTTCCTGCAGTCTTGTGTAGACTTTGCTGCCACCCCAAAACCCTGGGATTCAAAAGAAGAGACACTGATTCACTCAAGTCATTCAGTTGGCACGCATTGAGGGGTAGAAATAATGAAGATGAATAAATACAGTTCTTATCTTTGAGAAATTTGAAAGGTGCTGAAAATTTAGTCTCTAAAGCGCACTGATTGAAAATACATCCTTCTTGATTAAAAAGATACTTGGTTTTTTATAACAGCTACCATCTCTACTCACCAAAGGGACGTCTGCCATGGAGTACACCACCACTCCCTGGTACTGACAAGTATTTTCAGTGATTCGACCCAGTCCAGATTTCAACACATGGTTCCCATACAGGAAGGACTGCTCTGCTCCAGGCTTTATCCACACTTTATACTATTAAAACAAAACAAAACAAAACAAAACAGAATTAAATCCAAGAGGCATTAAAATGCTACCTGCTGTATCCCTGCACATAAGCCAGCTGCTGGATATGTGATTAACTTCTTGAAAGCATTTTCAGGAAAAGAGAAAAATGGATGGTTATCTCAAATTATTCACTCCCTAAAGAACTGCCAGAAAGTTCTTTCCTCAACTCTGTAATCTCTCACATGGAGAGTTTAAAAGCTCCTTTTCTGGATCCCACTATGCTCTCACCGAAGCCACCAATTTGCTTTTCTTGAGTGGGGTCTGCATAGGCTTTTGTACTCTGCTGGACATAACTACGACTATGCAACCATACAGCATCCTCATGCCAGAACCCCAACCATGCCCAAGCAGCAAGACCTGCAAATATCCCCATGAGCTGGCACTGACTCCGTGACAGAGAAGCTACCCGATTATCTGCGTTCTGACGTGGCCCTCATCTTTGACTTCCTTCCTCCCCAGTGGCCGACTGAATACCACCCTACAAACCTTGGCATAGGGTGCAAGGTAATCCAGAGCCGTGACGTGCAACCGGAACTTGTGAGTCTTAGTGAATTTTCCGAAGCAGGTCCCCAGCGACACCAGCTTGTCCCCAGAGATGTTGGCGGCCAACTTCAGGATCTTCTCACTGAAGGGGTAAGGAAGAAGGTGTCAGATGGGAGAAGCTGGTGGGACCCAGTCCTCCCCCCGGGGCTACTGTCGTCCACCCGACACCGCCTCACCTCACATAGTACACACGGTCGTTGTGCAGCCTGAAACAGTAGGTGCCGTCGGGCCTGTCGACCAGCAGCTGAAGGTTCTCCCCGATGCTGAAAGCAAAAGGAGGGCTGGAGACAGCGCCCCAGCAGCCTCCTCCCGGCCCCGCGTCCCCACTCTACCCGCCACACACACATTTCCCCTTCCCCTCCGCGCGCTCTTACTATTTCGCTATCTTCTCAAACATTACGCGGGTCTCTTCTTCAGTTAAAGGCCGCATTTTCCCGCTGGGTTACAACACCGAATCCGCGTGCCTCAGAGGCCGGAAACGGAAGTCAGCCGCCGGCCGCTCCCTGGCAACCCCACAGCCTGCCTCTCTAGCCGCCTTCAATTTGGTCCCTGCCCCAGTGCCCCGTGGCCTGGAGGACCATCGGCAAAGCAAGCGGGCCGGATACGAACCCCCCCGCTGCTTCCGGTCCTGGATTCCGAGCCAGCGCCCTCGCAGGGCCGGAGGAGAAGTGACGCTGCTGCCGGAAGATGGCGGCGACGGCGACAGTCGCTTCGTCAACCACGGAGCCTGCCACAACGACGGACACTGCCGCAGCTCTCGGGGAGGTGGAGGATGAAGGGCTCCTGGCATCGCTGTTCCGAGACCGTTTCCCCGAGGCCCAGTGGCGGGAGCGGCCCGACGTGGGCCGCTACCTCCGGGAGTTGAGCGGCTCCGGGCTGGAGCGGCTGAGGCGCGAGCCCGAGCGCTTGGCGGAAGAGCGAGCGCAGCTGCTGCAGCAGACGCGCGACTTGGCCTTTGCCAACTACAAGACCTTCATCCGAGGCGCCGAGTGCACCGAGCGCATCCACCGCCTCTTCGGCGACGTGGAGGCGTCGCTCGGCCGCCTGCTCGACCGCTTGCCCAGCTTCCAGCAGAGCTGCAGGTGCGGCGGGCCTGGCACTAAGGGGGTTTTTAGCAACTGTAATAGCTGACATTTATGACGAAAGAAATAGCTAACACGTAGCAGTTACCATGGGTCAGGCGCTCCTCTGAGCATTTTTTAAAAATCCACTTACGCTTCATAACAGCTTTCGAGGTGGGTACTGTTATTCCCATTTTATGTATGAGGAAGTTGAGACAACTTGGGGATTGTCTAGGGGCACTTGGAAGCTAGTAAGTCCCCAAGGCAGGATTGGAAAATAGCTGCACGTCCCTCCCTCACAGGGTTGTGAGTACTAGAGAATCCATGCAAAGCACTTATTGGGTCTGACATATCTAACATTCTACGGTCGCCAGCTATAAGGTACACGAGCCGACCATCCAAAACTTTGAGAGAAGGCTGACAACGAAATCCTTTCATTTGGAGGCAGCAAAAATTATCCAAAAAACTCTCCTTTTTATGCTCCTATATTCTGCCTCTTTAGGCCTCAGTCTATTATCCTTAATTCTACCTTTCAGCCTTTCTCGATAAAATTTAAGTTTTGAGTCTTTGGATATTTGACAATAGCTTCTGTACCCTTCCGCCCGCCTTCCTATATAGGGGACTTCATAAGCAGGTCTCTGTAGTTATGGAGAAGGGAAAACTATGGAGTTAAAAGTGGAACAACACGCTAAGAAAAGATGAAGAGGCTGAGGGAACTTGAGGGTAAGGTTATAGCTTCTAAGCTGGTTAGTGATCACAAAAAGAATAGCTATTATTAACATTTACTGTGTGTCAGGTTCTGTGTTAAATGCTTTATACACATCATCTCATTTAATCCTCACATGCTTATGAGGTGGGTCTTACTACTATTTTACCAATAAAGAAAGAACTCAGAGCCTAAGTACCTTGCCACTGCTAGTTAAGTGGCAGATCTGGGCTCACAGATTTTTATCATTTATTAATTGTGTGATCTTGGACAAGCTGCTTAGCCTCTCTGGGATTAAAGTTGCCTCAAGGGTGATAGTACTTACCTCACAGGTTTGGTGTGAAGATTAAATCATAAACCATCCAGCTCACTGTCCAGTTCATAATAAATGCTTGGTAATTGTAGCTAAGTTTTGGATGTAGAGTAGTGAGCAACCAATATTCTCCTGTTACTAGGAACTTTGTCAGAGAGGCTGAGGAGATCAGCTCCAACCGCCGGATGAACACCCTGACTCTAAACCGGCACACAGAAATCCTGGAAATCCTGGAGATTCCTCAGCTGATGGACACCTGTGTCCGGAACAGCTATTATGAAGAGGCCTTGGAGCTTGCTGCCTATGTACGCCGGCTGGAAAGGAAATATTCCTCCATCCCTGTCATCCAGGTAGCCACACTGCCCCAAAAGGACACAAACTGATGTTCTTATAATCAGTAATTCTGTGGTTATCACTGAACCTTTAGGCAGAAACCTTAGGGAAATTTTGCATGTTTTATTTCAGTTTCTGGCGGCCAGACAGGCTTGAACATGAAACATTCATTCATTCATTCAACTGATAAATATTAATCATGTGCCAGGCACTGATCTAGGTCTTGGGGAGACAATGACACAAAGCACAGAAGGTCCTAGATTTCATGAATGTAAGCGGATAGTTGGTAAATAATTAAGTAATATGATCCTTTCAGATAATGGTAACTGTCCGAAGGAAATAAACTAGGGGATGGGTAGGAGACTAGGGTATGGAGACTAGGGTAGGAGACTAGAGGAAAGGCTCTGCTGGAGAGAGAATATTTAAACTGAGACCCAGATGATGAGAAGGAACCAGCCACACAAAGATGTGGGGAAAGAGCAAACCATAAAGTGGAAAGACCAGGTATAGCAGACTGAGGAGGGAACAAGTTGGGAGTGTTTAAGAAATACAGGGGCGCTTGGGTGGCTCAGTTGGTTAAACAACTGCCTTAAGCTCAGGTCATGAACCTGGAGTCACAGGATCGAGTCCCGTGTTGGCCTCCCTGCTCAGCGAGGAGTCTGTTTCTCCCTCTGACCCTCCCTCTGGTGCGCGCTTTCTCTCTCAAATAAATAAATAAAATCTTAAAAAAAAAAATACAAAGACAAGAAAAAAGAAAAAGACAGCCAGTGTGACTGGACTGCAGTGAGCAGAGGGACAGAATTAGAAAGCTGGTGAGGCAGGACAATTAAACAGGGCTTGTAGGCCACAGTGAACGCGATATTTGTTGGTAAACCTGTACACATCAACTTTAGGAAATATTCATATCAGGAAAGCAGTGGGAATGTTGATCTCCAATATTCAGGGGTAGTGGAATGGGTTCCCGGAAGTGTCATTCCCACTGTGATGTGACCAACTCCCTATATTGTCAGGGCATCGTGAACGAAGTGCGCCAGTCCATGCAGCTGATGCTGAGCCAGCTGATCCAGCAACTAAGAACCAACATCCAGCTCCCCGCCTGCCTCCGTGTCATTAGCTTCCTCCGGTGCATGGATGTCTTCACTGAGGCTGAGTTGAGGGTGAAGTTTCTTCAGGCCCGAGATGCTTGGCTCCGTTCCATTCTGACTGCCATCCCCAATGACGATCCCTATTTCCACATCACAAAAACCATTGAGGCCTGCCGTGTCCATCTGTTCGATATCATCACCCAGTACCGTGCCATATTCTCTGATGAGGACCCATTGTTGCCCCCTGCCATGGGTGAGCATACTATAAACGAGAGTGCCATCTTCTATGGCTGGGTGCTACAGAGAGTCTCACAGTTCCTGCAGGTGCTGGAGACCGACCTTTACCGGGGGATTGGTGGTCGTCTAGATTCTCTGCTGGGTCAGTGCATGTACTTTGGGCTGTCCTTCAGCCGGGTTGGGGTTGATTTCCGGGGCCAGTTGGCTCCTGTTTTCCAGCGGGTGGCCATCAGCACTTTCCAGAAGGCAATTCAGGAAGCAGTGGAGAAGTTCGAGGATGAAATGAATTCCTACACCCTCATCTCAGCTCCAGCCATTCTGGGCAGCAGTAACCTGCCTGCTGCTGTGCCAGTCACTCAGCCGGGAACCCTGCAGCCACCCATGGTACTCTTGGATTTCCCCCCACTTGCCTGCTTCCTCAACAATATTCTGGTTGCCTTCAATGATCTGCGCCTCTGCTGCCCTGTGGCCTTGGCACAGGAAGTGACTAGGGCCCTGGAGGACGCTCTTGTCAAGGTGAGCACATTCTGCTGGCTCCCTACTGGGGCTTTCTTTGGTAACAGGTGGCCAGACTTTTGTAAAAAATAAATCAGTCTGTGTGATACGTGGTTGCAGACTTAGGCTTAGTGCGGTTTTAGAGACTTTTTCTGATTGAGAAGCTCTGGTTAGTCTCCCATGATGGGACCTAGAACAATACGTGAAGTGGCTCACCTGTAAAAATGACTGAGGAATGTATTAGTTTCCTCCTGCTACATAACAAACTCCTACAAACATAGCAGCCAAGATAACACAGTTCTCGTCTCCCAGTTTCTTTGGATTGGGAGTCCTGGGTCCTCTGCTCGGGATCTCACAAGGCAACAGTCAAGGTGCTGGCGAGGTGGCAGTCTCATCTGAAGCCTGGGGTCCCCTTTCAAGCTCATTCATTTGCAGTTGTAGGTTTAAGGCTCTTAGGTCCTAGAAGCCACCTCCCTCCATAAAGTGTGGCTTTCTGTTTCAGGCCAACAGAGAGCAACTCTCCTGGCTGAGTCTCTTTTTTTGTAGGGAAATCCTCAACCTTTTTTTAAAAGGCTTATCTGATTAAGTCGGGCCCAACTAGGATATCCCTTGATTAATTCAAAGTCAACTGATTAGGGGCTTTAATTACATCTGCAAATTCTTCACCTTCAAAGCCATATTAAGTAGGGGTTAGAAACAAGCCACACATTCTGCCTGCAGTCAAGGGGAAGGGATTACACAAAGGCATGGATACCAGGGGTGGGATTCATAAGAACCATCTTAGAATTCTACACAACACAAGAAATACTACAACTGATGATATCCTGCACATCTTTTACATATTTAAACCTTTAGATAATGGGATGTTTCTTAGGACTTACAGCATCTTACATTTGCTGTCAGCTAGGCGGCAGTTGTGACATGGTTATATAAAATCTTTCTGGGCCCAGCTCTCTTACTCTTGGGCTGCCCACTTTCATATCTCAAGAGTGTACTTTTTGCTTTAATAAACTTTCCCACTTGTGTTACTCAAAAAAAAAAAAGGTTTGTTAACGCCCTCCTGTAAGAGGAAGGAAGTATGAGCACTGAAACTTTGTAATCAGTGAAATTCAGGTAATAGTAATATGCTAATCTGTATGTAGAACTTACTCCATGCCACGTCGTGTTCATTATACTTTATACCTATTGAGAACTGATCCTCACAACCCTAAGAGGTAGATCCTGTTGCAGGCCCTACTTTATAGATAAGGAAACTGAGGAACAGAGGGCACAAAGTGTTTCATCACTTGGAAGTCACAAAACCAGCAAGTGGCACAGCTAGGACTTGAACCAGGAACGTCAGCTAAGTTGCTCTGTTATTTTTATGTAGAACTTCTTTTTTAGCTCAGTGTTCTTTTAAAATTTTTTAGCGGTCTAGCTTCCTGGAATCTCAGAACCCTTACTCAGTAAAAATATTTTATAGTTTTGCCTTGTTTTCCTGGATCCAGTATAGTTGTGGTCCATCTCCTGTAGGAATCAAGAACCTTGATGCTTTTCCACTGGAAGTGGAAAGTGTGCCAGTAATGAAACAAGTAGGGTTTGGGTCAGAAATATCTCAACGAAGTGAAAGAACTGTGGAGAGACCACAATTCTGAATTTAAACAAGACAGTAATATAATGTACTGTTTGGAATTACTTTCTTTATGAAAACTTGAGGGCTGCATATTTGTGCTTAGTTTCAGGTACCACTGATGGTGGTAGTGATGGTGATAGTCTAGTGACTGATGGTGCCCCTGTCTCCTAGGTAACCAAAACAATCCTGGCCTTCCATCGTGCAGAAGAGGCTGCTTTCAGCAGTGGGGAGCAAGAGCTCTTTGTCCAGTTCTGCACTGTCTTCCTGGAAGACCTTGTTCCTTATTTAAATCGCTGTCTCCAAGTCCTTTTTCCACCAGCTCAGATAGCACAGACCTTAGGTAAGAGAAAGGAGGGGAAAGATCTTGAAAACTACTGTATTGATATAATTCATATACTAAATAATTCACCTATTTGTAAAATTCACTGTTTTTTAGTAAGTATACAGAGATGTACAGCCATTACCACTGTCCAGTTTTAGAACATTTCCATCACCCTAAAAGGAACGCTCCTGTCCAGTGTAGTCATTACCTAATCCCAGTCTTAGCCCCTGGCAACCACTAATTTGCCTTCTATTACAACAGATTTGCCTTTTCTGGACATTTCATATAAATGAAATAATACAGTACGTGTGTATCTGGCTAAGTGGAAGAAGCTAGTTACAGGAGAACCACATATTGTATGACTCTATTAATATGAAATATTCAGAAAAGGTATTTTGAAAAGATTTTTTTTCAATCTGTCTTCACTTCGCTGTGCCCACTTCACTCTGTGCCAGGAGTGAAGGCTGGGGGAGACAGAGCTTCCCTTTGGGCAGTCGTCCAGTGGCCACACCAGCAGAGTGGCTCTTGGCAACTTTCCCCCCAGCTTTCTCCTTGGGCCTGCCACGGGGAAGCCAATGCCTTCCGAGGTGCTCTTGGCTCTTAACTCCATCAACCCTCCACCGTGTTGTTCCAGATTACCTTCAAAGTCTCGCTTTATAGTATAGTTTCTTGTCCCAAATCACAAAAATGGCTTTCACTGTTCACTGTGGAAATTGTGTCTGTTACGTCCTATAAGCTTTTTTTTTTTTTCCTGCGACACATCAATATTTAAATTTGTTAAACGTTTTTTCTATTTCACTTTCTCTGCCTGTGGGTCAGGCATTCCACCCACTCAGGTCTCCAAGTACGGAAACCTTGGGCATGTGAACATCGGCCTCATCCAGGAGCCTCTTGCCTTCCTCCTGCCGAAGAGAGAGCTGGTCCTCTGTCTGGATGACAAGGAGCTGGTGCCGGAGCTCGCAGCTCCAGCACCCACCGCCGAGGAGTCAGGCATGGAACCCGCCGCTGCAGCTCTCCCTGAGGATGCGCAGGAGCAGGCGGACCCCGCGGAGGCGCCGCCGGCTGAGGTCCCTGGTGCGGACACCTAACGGGCAGGGCGGCCCGCGCTTCCTGCCGCGCCCGCGGAGAGGTGAGGCCGGCCTAGGAGAGCACGGGGCAGCCCCAGGGGGTAGGCTGCGAAGGCATTCGTGAGCGCATACGAAAGGGGAACCTCCATGCGTCACGCTTGCAAACGGTTGATTATACATAAAAACACGGAATTCAATAATAAAGCTGCTGACGTCACGGAGGCGGGCTGCGCTCTAGGGGCCCGCATTCGCGCTTCCGGAAGGCGCGCAGGAACTCGGTTTCCCGGCGTCCCCCGCGACGGGAGCGCTTGCCGACGGGGGCCGGGGAGGGCGGCGGCGACCGTGAGGATCTTCTCGGCGTACCACGGACCGAATGGGAGCGCCGCTGCTGCTTGGGACGCTGCTGGCGCGGGCGCGTCACTGCTTGGGATCAGCCCCATCGTGGGCAGGGGGAGCGGCGGGCGGCGGCGCCCGGGCCTGCAGTTCCGCGCCCGCCCGGGACAGCCGCGAGGGCCCGGCGCGTCGGCGGTCCTACTGGCGCTACGTGCGGCGCCTGGTGCTGGGCGCGCCCCAGCCGCCCTACCCGCGCGTGTGTCAGGTCGGCGACCCGGCGCTGCGGGCCGTGGCTGGCCCGGTGGAGCCGGCGCAGCTGGCGGGTCCCGAACTGCAGCGGCTGGTGCAGAGGCTGGTGCGGGTGATGCGGAGCCGGCGCTGCGTGGGCCTGAGCGCTCCGCAGCTCGGGGTGCCGCTGCAGGTGCTGGCTTTAGAGTTCCCCGAGGCGCTCTTCCGCGCCTGCCCGCCGCGCCTGCGCGAGGCCCGCCAGATGGAGCCCTTCCCCCTGCGCGTGTTTGTGAACCCCAGCCTGCGGGTGCTAGACAGCCGCCTGGTCACCTTTCCTGAGGGCTGCGAGAGCGTCGCCGGCTTCCTGGCTTGCGTGCCCCGCTTCCAGGCCGTGCAGATCTCAGGTGCGGCAGGGGCAGGGCGGTGGCTTTAGGGTGGTTGGGTAAACGCGTGCGTCTCTTCCCCTTTGCCCATGGAAGCGGCGACCTCTGGTCCTATGTAGTTTTCGCAAAGCCCCAGTTAAAATGCAGATTTGTGGGACGCCTGGGTGGCTCAGTTGGTTAAGTGGCTGCCTTCAGCTCGGGTCATGGTCCCTGGGTCCTGAGATCGAGTCCCACATCGGGCTCCTTGCTCAGCGGGGAGCCTGCTTCTCCCTCTGCCTCTGCCTCCCTCTCTGTCTGCCTGTGCTCATTCTCTCTGACAAATAAATAAATAAAATCTTAAAAAAAAAATGCAGATTTGTGAAGTGCAGGCTCAACGAAGCCTGCCGGCAGAACCCTGCAGGGAACGTGATTCAAGACTGACTGAAGGGGATGGGGGCTAGTGTGACAGCAGAGGCAGCTTGTCGGGGACTTTGCTTGGGCTGGGAACGTGGCCTAGTTCCGACAGTACCTCACTACAGGTCCTCTGCTGTGTGCCCTCTCCCTGGCTGCCTCACACACGTACCCTTTTTACCCAATTGGATCCGTCGTGGTGGAATGGGAGAAGTGGGACCCAGCTTTCCCTAGGCCAGGATGATGAGCCGTACATGTCTGTCATACCACAGGATATCTTGTGGAATGTGATTTGTTGCTGGGGTTGGGAAGAGTGTTCCTTTTTTTTTTTTTTTTTTAAACATTTTTATTTGAGAGAGAGAGAGAGACAGTGAGAGAGAGCATGAGCGAGGAGAAGGTCAGAGAGAGAAGCAGACTCCCCATGGAGCTGGGAGCCTGATGCGGGACTTGATCCCGGGACTCCAGGATCATGACCTGAGCTGAAGGCAGTTGCTTAACCAACTGAGCCACCCAGGCGCCCAAGATTGTTCCTCTTAAGTAGGCCACTTGGTCCAGGTCAGAAAGTAAATGGTATCCCTTAATTTTATAGTGTACCAAGTTGAAAGACTCTTAGGAATTGAAATAAATCAGCAGTACTTCAGAAATGGGAGGAATGTTTAGAAATGAGGCACCTTACAAAGATCATTTTTCATCTCAGCCCCATAGTAAGTCCGGCAACCTATTGTCAGCGTTAGAGCCACATTGAATACTTGGTAATGCACATAGTTGAGGCATCTTTTCTGGGAATTATAGGGGCTGCTGTCTACATTCCCTTCTCATGTTGCCTTCTGTGAAAAACCAGAGGCAGGGAAAAGGTGAGATTAAAAATGATGCGGTTAAGCATATCCTTAACCAGGCTGTAACTTACTTTGCAGGGCTGGACCCCAAAGGGGAGCAGGTCGTGTGGCAGGCGAGCGGATGGGCAGCCCGAATCATCCAGCACGAGATGGACCACTTGCAGGGCTGCCTTTTCATTGACAAAATGGACAGCAAGACATTTACAAACATCTACTGGATGGAAGTGAATGATTGAATTTTTTCTGCTGCATCTGAGGATTCTGGAAACCAAAACACAAACACTTGGGATTTGAGCTGGGGAAGACTTGCCTGGTATCAACTTGATACTGGTTTGGTCTGACAGAAAACAATGAATTGCCAAACCAGGTTGGAGGAATATATCAAAAATGTTTGCCCTGAAATCAGCCATGGACAAAATATTGCCTTCAATTTGAGAAGAAAATGAACGCCCCTGAAAGAGTGAACATTTCCTGATGATTTTGTATGGTAATAATTGGGGAAAATAAATAACCACTCTTCGTAGACATTACTTCATAGACCTGTGTAATCTACCCCGAGCCAAGATTTGATAATGACATAGTCCCTAATATCTGAAAGTTTTGTTTAAAAATGCCGGTTAAGACTGTGGTTGACCATCTTCACTGAGTTCTTATTTTTACAAAGGGCTTGTATGTGTCTTACCTGCAGAGTCAGTCCTTTGCCTTGAACAACAGTTTGCTTGTATAAGTAAAACAGAACAGAATGGGCACAGTTCATGAAGTGTTTAATGACAGTATTAACATAAATGAGTACCCACACATTTTACCAGGGTCACAAGTTTTGGGTGATGATTTCCCTGCTAAGATTTCTTGGGCAGCTGCTGTTTGGCTCATTCTTGTGGTGGAGCTCATGGATCAGGGCTAGGGGAGGGATGATAGTTGAGGAAGCAATGACCCTCTTCCTGTCACAATTAGAAAAGAAAGCAAAACTTGTGCTTCCTGGTCACAGTTATTTTTGGAAAAATAAATTAGCATCAACCTGACCAACAGTTAGCCTTAAGATACTGTCAGAGCTTTGCAGGATGTAAAGGAACTTGTTTCTCTAGATACTGGTCTTGCCTCATTTTTATGTTGTGTTTTGCAACACAGGTACTCTTACCACAATCCTCAAAATCCTGTTACCCATGTAGTCAGTCCAGTAAGTTGTTTAGAAAAAACTTGTTTTAAACAGTAGTTAATTAAATGGATCCAGTATGGCTTTCTCGAAAAAGACCACCCTAGGGGGCCCTACAAGGTCAAGCCAAAGGTAACTGGCTCTCTCTGCATTAAACTTCAGAAGGGAATAGGAGCCAGCACTGCTCTAAGGTCATGTTAGATATTCAGCCACTGGGGAGGTGTGTATACTAAAAACATGGATCCTTATTAAAATTAGAAGTCAGTGACCCTCCTTTCCTTTTGGACAATGTTCCTAAGCTTCTGCAGGGTGGCTTCAGAATATTCTGATGCTTTCTTACCTCGCTCTGAGGTTAACGTCCTTACAGATGCCTTTGTAATGTAGATCGGTAACATCTGCCTGCAGCTTTCTGATCTGGGGACCTGAGAGTATGTGGCTGCTCAGAATGGACCTTGGAGAAAACCTGAAACTCTGTATTGCTGACAACAGGATGTGCACTATTGTAACCAAATCCACCTAGGAGGATTTGTCCAACTAGCTACTACAACCTAAAGCCACAAATCTGCATTTCTAATAAAACGTCACCCACCTCAGGGAGATGGATCAGCCACAATAACCACATTCACAAATCATCTTGAGCTAAGGAATGTTTCAGAAGTCAGCTACCTTAGAAGTCAACTACCAAACTGAAAGCCAAGGTAGACAGAAGGTTTGGGACAGAATTCCCAAATAGGGAGGAGTGAATTTCAGAGTTAGCTTTTAGGGGAGGAAAGGCCTCTGTACCTGTGAGCGGTGTTTAACATGGATGGTGAAGGCACACCATCAGTTTGAAGTGACATCAGCCTCACATGTGAATAGGACAGTCATCACCCTGCATCCTGTCACTGGTGATGGAGAGGCATGACATCTGTGACAGCCGCGACCAGAGCTGTGAAGATGAACCACAGCAGCCTGTTTCTGTTAACCCGTGACTTGTCAAGGTGTCTGAGCAATAGAAAGGAAGATTTTAAAAATAAAGCAAGCAAGGACCTGACTCAAGTAAAGGTGGCTGGAGGTAGAACAAGAAAACACAAGTAGCTAAAAAGAAATCGTACGAGCAGGGCAGTGTCCCGGGCTGGCTTCTAGTCCAGTGTTCACAAACAGTAACTGCTGGCTGAGGGCACATAACTAAAGTGAGAGCCCTGGGGACTCCTGAGTGACAAAGACGCCAGCCATAGTTGCTCCCGAGGGGTCACATGGTGTTGAGGCGGGGCTGATGTACCCACACTGGGGAGGAGCACTTGGGCCTGAGCCTTCAAGGAGCCCAACAAAAAGTTGTCGCAATTCAGCAGCCATTCCTAACCAAATCAAAGACCACCATGGTGCAAGGCTACTGTGACCTAAGAGTCCGCCTCAACATCAGTTCTGGACAGTTTGGGTTCTCGTAAGACCTGGAGCAATAATCAACGGAGTCGGAGGGAGCTAGAGGAGCCCGAGGACAGGCCTTCTGTGTATTCATCCGCACAAGTCAGGCGCAGAGCCTCCTCTCAGCATTTCTAGAGAGCCTTGCGGGGAGGCGGGGAGTTCTCCAGATCGAGAGTCACAAATTCAAATGGCCACAGGAGCTGGACAGGCAAGCCGAAGGGGTGAAGCAGTCCGTGTGGGGATGGGTGAGCTGGAGAGAGTGTTCTGCCTCTGAACAGGGCAGCCCCCCGCTCAGCTGTGGCTGCAGGTTGCCTAATCTCCCAGAAGCCAGAAATCTGAATTTTTACATCAACTCTTGATTTTTCAGTGTTGGCAGCAAGCCGAACCAAACATAGCTACAGGCCATGTCTGGCCCGAAGGCCTCCCAGTCCGCAGGAAGAACTGTCCAGGTGCCACAGGGGCGAGGCCCCGGCGGGAGGGGTGGGAGGGGCGGGGATCCGGCCAGCCTGACTGGAGAACAGTGGGAACTGCGCCAGTTGGCAGTACCCTGGTCTGATGAAGAGCACAGAGAGAAGAGCAGGGGGTCTTTCTCACGGAAGCAAGCATGGCCTTCAAGGAGCCCAGATAAGAATCAAAGATGCGATCACTCAGGTGGCTCAAGAGGGAAAGGATTTATTAGCCCGTTTCCAGGGCAGGGAGCCAGGGGCAGTGGTGGGAGTGTGGTGGTCTCACATTCAGAGGGAAGAAAAGGCAGCAGTAAAACCCACCTGACTGCCTTCACTCATTCTGATCTACACAGCTTTGTGCTCACAAAAACCATCCTCTTGTCCTGCAGGGAGGACACAGGGCCTGGGATGCTGACCTAGGAGGTTGGGAATGGCTTGGTTTGACTCGTGGCCTTCCAAGGCAGGGAGTAAAACTTGGGTTAGAAGGGACAGGCTGAGGGAGCGGCAAGCCGTCCTAAAGGTCTACAGCCCCACGTGCGGGCTGCTCCCACCCCTTGACGCTTCCGGGAGATTTTAACTTTATTTATAAACAAGACAAAAATCCAAGCAGCATTAATTTAGGGGAACAAAGAAAGGTTTAAAAAAAAAAAAATACAGAGGGGCAGGATAAGGAGTTGGTGAGCATCCAGAAGAAGAGGAGGAGGAGAGAAAGGAGGAAGAACCAGTATTCCACCCGGTGCTGAATGTGCTTCCGCGTCTCTGCGGCCACAGAGGCCCTTCCTCCTGCTCCCCAGCCGGCAGCCAGACAGCAGAGGGGACGCCGCAGTGACGTGAAGACGAACCCTGGAGAGCTGTCTGGCCACTGACGTGGGGAGTGCCATGGATTTATTACACCAGTCAACCTCCCACCTTCACCGTCACCAAGTGAAGAAATTTTTAACTCTCCTGTCCAAAGTCCTCTGAGAATTTCTTCACTTTCAGGAGGTCATCTGCATTCACGGTGGGCCGAGTGGTGGCCAGAGACCGGAGCATGTCCGACTGCAAAGACAAGGGCACGAACCTAAGGAGGAGCCAGGCCCAGGGTCCTCAGCCTCTCTGTGTCGCAGACCCATGGGGTCCAGCAGAAGAAGCCAGTGTTCCCAGTCACTCCCAGCCCCAAAGGCAAAGCTCCCTCTGGTTGCCTGGTGCCTGCATGCACGTCTGCCGTGCCAGGTCCACTCTTCCCTCCAGGGGCGGCTCGTGTCGTTCCCAAACAGGCCTATTTCTTGTCTGAGAGAATTCAAGCTCCCCTCATGTCTTAACTGCTGGAAGAAGCTCGTTCTGACTGCACACCCGCCATACCAGCCACAACGACAAACACCTGCCCCATACGACAGGCAAGACCATCTGGAAGACCAGGATGAGGAGAGGGGAAGACTAGTCCCATGAGGCTGCCTTTGCAGTGACACCAAAGCCCACTGCCAACAGACACTCGCTGCCTCCTCCTGGGCACAAAACAAGCCAAACCCATGGAATGATGTAGTCATGCCAGAGGGACTTTATTCTTGCTGAATAAAATAAAATGCTCATGCTATGGCCTCCATCCTGGGTCCCCACTGAGTCTAACAGCAGGATCCCCAGCTACCCAGAGCCCCAAAGGCCACTCTGTTTCAGAGGAGCCACCAACAGCCCAGGACAACCCACAACCCCAGAGAAGGAGAGAAGCTTATTTTTATTTTCAGGCCCAAGACCCCAGTTTTCTGGGCTCTGTGTAGTCCCTCTCCCAGCTGGCCACTTACCATGCAAACCACAGGCTCTAAGAGTTTGTCACCAGGGACATCCATCCAAGTCATCTCCATGGCCCCTGGGTCCCCTGGTGAGCAAGGGGTCAGGAGGTCATCAATCATAACGCTAGGATTGGTGCGGGAAGGACCACAGACCTGAAATCAGATAGGAGTCAGGCTGCAGGGGCTCCGCCTCGATGACTGGGGAAGGGGTGGGATGCTTCAGATTTCTGAGTCCTGAAGAGAAGGTAGTGGGAGAGGATGAATGCGTGCCTGGCTTTCTAGGTCATTAATCAGTCTGAGAAGAGAATGACTCCTTCAGAAGTCTCAGGCTGGCAGCTGAAAGTAGCTCACGGTAGGATTCTGGAGGTTTGTGGTCAGCATGTTATTCCAGACACTGTTCTCCAGAACCGCGATCTGTGGCCTGAAGTGTCTCAGTATCTTCCTCTTCCTCAGTGACTCCATCAAATCTCACCACAAATGTAGTGATATCAAAAATGTTCTTCTAACCACAGTCTGCTTTATTGGCAACATCCCCCCAAATATCCCCAAGGCTAATTCCCTCACCTCTTTCAACTCTTGACTCAGATATTATCTAGGATGGCCTATCCTTTAAGAATACGACCTACCGTGGGGTGTCTGGGTGGCTCAGTCAGTTAAGCACCTGACCCTTAATTTTGGCTCAGGTCATGATCTCAGGGTTGTGAGATGGAGCACAGAGTCGCTTGGGATTCTCTCTCCCTCTGCCCCTCCCAACTCCCCCCTCTCTCTCAACTAAATTTTTTTTTATTATTAAAAGAATACAAGGGGCGCCTGGGTGGCTCAGTGGGTTAAAGCCTCTGCCTTCGGCTCAGGTCATGATCCCAGGGTCCTGGGATCAAGCCCCACATCAGGCTCTCTGCTCAGCAGGGAGCCTGCTTCCCCCTCTCTCTGCCTGCTTCTCTGCCTACTTGTGATCTCTGTCTGTCAAATGAATAAATAAAATCTTAAAAAAAAAAAAGAATACAACCTGCCCACTCAACTCCGAACATCAGAAATACCAGACTCCATCTCCTGCTCTGTCTTCCCCCTCATCACCCTCAACTCCTATAGATCAGGGATTTTTGTCTGCTGTGGTCCCAAGTGTCTCCCCAGGTCCTAGGACAGCACCAGGTGCACAGCAGGACCCTTGGCAGACACTCAACAGAGATACGCTGTGTGACAGGAGCTCCTCCTTAGAGCGAGTGATTCTGTACCTGCTGATTCTTCAGACACTGAGTGGGGGCCCCACACACGACAGCACAGCGCTGACTATGGAGGTGGCAGAGGTGACTGGCATGGGGCCATGACCTCTGGCTTCACACAATCTCAGATGGTCACATTCACGCAGGAAGAACGACAGGGAAAGAGAGAACAGGTGCAACCCCAGTCCGTGGAGCCAGAGGGCTCATGTACTTGTCCTTGGTTCTCCATGAGACCAAAGAAATGTCCCCTGAGCAGCCAAGGAACTGGCAGAGAAAGCTGACATCCCCATTCCTGTGACACTTTCTGAACAACTCCTTGCTGGCCCACTCACCTATTTTTTTTAAAGCAGGCTCCACACACCAGGAGTGGAGCCCATCGTGGGCTCATAGCCCTGATCAGATCAAGACCTGAGCTGAGCTAAGAGTTGGATGCTTCACCAGCTGAGACACCCAGGAGCTCCTCCACTCACCTTTTTGAAGTGTGTCGCTGACTGAACTTTTCTGACCGGCTGCATGAGGGAGTCCCGCACAATGATGCTGATGTCAGCACCCGAGTAGCCTTCCGTCTTCCGGGCCAGCTCATGGATGTTGGCCTCCGTGAGGTTGTGGGGAGTGCTCCCCAAGTGCAACCGGAACATCTGGGCTCGGGCAGCCTCCTCAGGCAGTGGGATGTAAATCCTCTTTTCAAACCTACAGAGCCAAGCACACGGCAGGACTTGAGAAGAGAGGGCGTGACAGTCTTCGCGGAGAGGGGTGCTGGGGCCCTCCGGAAGGTGGCTTTACTGAGGACTCTGCTCACCACACAGACATGAAGCGGCCTCCAGGGAAGTGGAGGCCGTCCACACCCAGAGCCGCAGCGGCAGGAGACCATGGGCTGACTGCAGCGGGAGAAAGACCTCAGCCCCCGGCACCTACCAGGGAAGACTCACCTCCTTCTAATGGCTGAATCCAACACCCAGGGGATGTTGGTGGCACCAAGAACCAGAGTCCCGTCATTGTTATTCCCCACCCCTGTGGAGAAAGGGAAACACAGACACTGATTCAGAACATCTGCAAGAACAGGAGCATCTGGGGGAAGCACCTCAGGGGCCTCTGTGTTATGATCTGGGGCCAGCCCTGTGCCCCCAAGTGGCTCCGCTGGGCCACGAGCCTTCTCTGAAGCCCTGCCGGCCTCGAGAAGGGCAGAAGGCTGGCAGCCAAAGGCCAGGGTGACCTCTCTGCAGGCCTGTGGAGTCGGAGCTGAGAAAGGCTGCTCTGACATTTCCCCTTTGTCTTAAGGATCATCAGACCCAGCCGCAGCTGAAGAAGTAACGACGCGCTGGGCTGGCTGGAGGCGGACCGGGCCCCGGGGAGGGCACCCAATGCTGGCACGCACCCTGCATCTGGACCAAGAACTCCGTTTTGATCCTTCGGGCGGCTTCGCTCTCGTTTTCATTGCGGGACCCGCAGAGGGAATCCACCTCATCAATGAAGATGATGGAGGGTTTGTGCTGCCTGGCCAGCTCGAACAGGTTCTTGACTAGCCTGTGAAGGTGACAAGTGGGGCTGGGATCAGGACGCCCACACCCATCCCAGCCGAGGGGCCAGTCACTGCTTCTCTTTGCCTTTCCCACAGGCAGGTCAGGACACCCGTCCTGCTAGGATTTCAGACCCTGGTCATCACAGATCTACAGGCAGCACTGTGCCATGAGGAAGAGCCAGCCCTGGCGACAGCCCCACTCATTAGCTCTGGATTTAGGACAAGTCATTTCCCCTCTGCTCAGCCTCGGTGTCATCCTCTGCAAAACGGGAGTCGGTGTGGAAAATAACTGAACCACATGAAGTCCCCAACAGAGGACACCCACCTGACACCCAAAGACTGGGAGTGCCTTTGCCTTCCCTTCACGAGGACTCCTCTCCCCAGCGCGCCCGTTCAGTCTCAGCAAGCTCTGTCAGGACAGTGTCCCACCCAACAAGCTAGCAGGATTCCCCTCCACTGGCTCCTTCTCCATGACCCCCAACAGTAGTTCCTCTGGGCGGTGGCTCAAGGGCAGGGAAGCAGGGCCTGGAAGCCGACTTACTTCTCACTCTCGCCCAACCACTTAGACATCAAGTCTGAGGAGGACACAGAGAAGAAGGTGGAGTTGTTGGCCTCTGTGGCCACCGCTTTGGCCAGGTAGGATTTCCCTGTGCCAGGGGGTCCAAAGAGCAGTATCCCTCGCCAAGGTGTACGCTTGCCTACAACAAAGAATAAACTGAGGTGAGCTCCTCCTGACTGGGGAAAGGGAACAGAAAAATTCGACAAGACGACTGATTCTAGAAGCAAAGGAAGAAAGGGAACTGAATTACCTGCTGAGAGCCTGCTCCTAGCCCTGGCTCATGACCCCCCAGAACTGTGGAAGTAACACTGGCTACCATTGGTTCCTGACCCTACTCACCCATTGGGAGTCAAGTCAAAGTTCTAGTTGCAAAGGTGTTCCTGACACCAGAGAGGAGCCAAGGAGCAGATGATTGTGATGGGTAGACCCTGGGGCCTCTCTCCACCGAGAGCCCTGAGAGGGAAGGTTGGGCCCTCACCCCCTGAGGGCCAAGAGAGCCGAGTGGCCACCTGCTCCTGGACAGTTTCCAAGTGTGAGCCCTGGGCTGGGTTCCTCGGAAGCCTGCTATTTTTGCATTTGGG